ATATTTTTTGTTTAAACTTATATAGGAATAATATTTATCTTTCTAAATTCACAAGAAATGAGCCAGATATTTAGCATCTAAAGGAACATTAGATCTGTTTGCACCTGGTTTCAGATTAGTTTCTGAACAAATAATGTTTTAATTCCAGAATGGACTAATTTGGCAACAATACTTTCTTGTAAAGTAGTGGGCAGAGAAGGTTCAGTCTCAAAAGGTCATTTATCTTCCTGTATACACAAAGGTTTTTTTTGTACTGTATGGTCTCCTTTGCCCTAGTATCAGATGAGAATTTTGCAAGTGGTAATGGTACCTTTAACAGTTGAAGTAATATCCTGCTTTTTAAAAGACTTGAAGTGAGTTATAAAATTAACTGAGCTACTTTATATTACATCCTGCAATTTTTTAGAATATGCATTGTCCAAATATGCATTGGTCCAAATAATCCACTTTGCCATTTGCCTTTCTGTACCGTTCCCTCTACCTTAGTGTACCCATTAAATGGATCATAATGGTCCTCATGTAGTGAATACCAAGGCATGCTTCTTGATCTTTGTATGTTATGTTAGTGCAATTATGTATATGTACAAACCAGGAGAATTTCATGCCAAATCACTTCCACTCCTGTCTTGCCTCCAATAGCTTTCTGCCCAAATTTACACCCGGTGAGTAACATTTATCACCACATTAGTTCAGGACTGAGTTTAGCCTTTTATTTCCTGCACTTGATTGTTTTGGCTTTAAAGCCACCATTAAAGCTGTCTAAATTAAACTGCTAATGCTCCTGTACCATGGGGGAAGAGCTAGCTCATTGTAATGGAGATTTCATTTCCTCTCTGTTGTGACAATGCAGTGAAACAATTCATTTCAGCAGGCTTAATGGTATAGTATTGACTGAAGTTGTTCTGCGATTTTTAATAACACTTAATCTTTAAGCAGATGTAATAAATGAGTTGCTACATAAAGGAGTAATGTCTGTGTTTAATACAATGCAGTATGTCTTTGTGTAAAACACTATGGGGAAAAAAAAGCAAAGTAGCCCCCCCAGTCATCTACAGGCAGAGAAGAGCTTACAGAAAAGCTATGTTATAGCTCTAAAGCAAAACAAACTGTTGCTTGTGCCTAATATCCTAACCTGATGCTTTTCCATTCAAGTACATGGAAATCTTCAGAACTTTCAAATAAAAGGTCAAATTCATCCAAGAAGGTTTTTTTTGCTGTTGTTCAAAAATTGATCAGTTGTAACAATTGCAGTTTTCTAGGTCTTTTGTATTGTCATGATGTACAAATGAAAGATTGCAAAACGCTTTATAGTATTGATCATTGTCTTTCAAGAGGCAACTGATTTTTCATTGAAGCTGAAGTTGATGGTACTTAAAAAAAAAGCTTTAAAGATAACATAATAAAATGCTCTGATAAGCTGTTGGTTGTACTTTGAAGTCTGCACAGCCTGAGACTTCACTCTCATACAAAGTGGACTCCAGACAACCTCAGACAAACACATCCAACTTCCATGCCAGAGTGGGCTGGAAGGCAGAGCTTGGCCTCCTGAGTTTCTCAAAGTCACTGGAAATTTCTGTTCCAGAAGGAGGCTGTTTAATCAGACTCCAAATACTTAACCACTTGCTGTTTTCCACTGCATCGCAGTGCTTCGGTTTATGAATGTGCTTCTGAATGATTTGCTGGGGAATTTTGGAATAGTGGTTTTGTTGCATGGTAGACTATGTTGCCATATTAATTCTTGTTTTCTCTTCAGTGAAGCCGTAAAGTCAAATCTGTTCTTCAGAATAATGCAATTCTGACCTTTATATTCCAATAGTTTGATGTGACTGGGGTCTTAAAATTTATTTGATCAGAAGTTACAACACTAGACTAACTGCTACAATAATTATATGGAGTTTAGTTGAAATACATCTTCTTAAAGTGTCTTTCCCTGTATTTTTCATGCAGCTGAACGAGATATCAATGTTTTCTGTGGAGTACAGACAATTACTATGAAAATAAATTTTTGCACAGTTCTTTTCTCTGGTTATTCTGAGACGGATCTGGCACTGAATGGGAAGCACGGGGATGCCCACTGCAGGGGCTTCATCAATAACAACACCTTTCCAGCAGTCGTCATTTTCATCATCAATCTGAGTACCTTGGAATCCTGTGGAAACACTTTAGTGGTAAGACAAGGTCAAAGTGAAATTGTAGCATGGCTGTTTATGCATAGGATCAAGTGAATGGACTTGACAGCGTTGTATATTTTACAGATAATGTTTGTTTTCTTGCCCAGATAGCGGTATGTTATATACGTCAGAGAAAACCAGAGAAAGTCAGTAATTTATAATCTTGATTATTAATGAGAAGATGTTGTGGGACACACATTTGTTCTCTGATTAGAAAGTATGTTTTTCATTTTAATGTTTTTTTTAGTGGAAAAATGATTTTTTTTCCAGGCCACTTTTAAAACTCTTGCTGAACATGCCTTAACTTTTGCTGAAACTTTTCAAATACCCACTTGGAAAAGGAAAGGAAAGTGTTTTTAAGAGTGGGTTAGATAGATGAGAGCTATCCTCTGGGTACCTACTGCTGTGCTGTTATAAGAAGGGCTTGCTGACTGATTGACTGATCTGCATGTTCTGTGATAAGGCAATGACTGAACAACTCAGGAGACGTAGTCTGGCCAGGGGGCCCAACCCCCAGTAAACACCTCTGCTAGCAGTGCCTTGAGGTCTTGCACCTCCTTGGAAGGTCTCAGCTCAATATGGAACTGCCTGGCAACAAACTGAAGTTTTCAAGCAAATTATGAATGATTGACACAAAGGGTTATCTACCTATGCACTCAATTCATGACACAAAAGTAAAGATGTGGGACTGAAGTTCAGATTTGTATGTTCAGCTCTGATCTCTTAATGCACAGGCACTCTGTGCTATGATGCTTTGCATGGTATTTGACTTCAGTGTCTACATTTTATGTTGCTGTTTTGTGCATGGATAATGCACATCTTTGTACAGCTAATGACTAAATCAAATCTTTAGCTGTGGATGAGATTTTTGGAACCAGAATCTGATCCAAGAGCTGACTTTGCGGTCTGTTTTGTACTAGTGTAATTTCATTATCCTCAATGAAGCTATCTCAATCTGAATGTGTGGTTGGTGGGTAGGTCAGCTCTCAAACCTTCTAAACCAAGGTAGAATTGTACCATTTGTGAGTATATAACATTTTACAAACAGTGATGACTTGTATCTAAGTATCTATGAATAACTTACAAAAACAAGTGTAAACATTTTTTATTTTTAAGGCTTTTATCCCATCTGTAATTCACACTTGCACTTCATGATACCTGCCAGTTTTTATAACAAACCTCCTGTTTTCTGTTGCCAATAATTTTGCTGAACTGGGCTGAAATGTTTGATATGCTCTGTGACCTATTTGCCTCAGGCTGAGTTTTCTTTTAAAATTTCAATTAAAAAGGTTCAGCAATATTCTTCCATAATGAAATGTCTTTTTAAGAAACTGTGTATTCTAAAGCTATTGAAAGCATCTGTTTTGCTAATAGAGTTATACCAAAGAAATGCTACAGTGAAAGTCCGGTGCTATGTTCATTAGCCTTATTGTGTATGTGCCTACTGAGAAAGTACTTTGAGAACAGCAGATAAGTTCACAAACCATGCCTTTATTCAGATCAGTAGGCAGAGTGGGACTAGGCTGCTACCAGGAGGGAAGGCTGTCCTTCAGTTTTCTGGACAGCTACATTGCTGGCTCTGTACACTCTGTGAGCCTGAGCAACACAGGATAGCACATGTCCAGGGACTGAATTAAGGTTGCATTGGCGTTAAGGTTGTATTATTTTTCAGCTCTTGCATTTCTGACAGTGCTTCTTTGCACATAGTTTATAATTTAGATTTTGAGATGTATAACGTAGACAAAAATACAGACTCAGAGGTCAGTGATTTGGCTTGTATCTGCTTATAAAGTACATTGGTTTTGATGTGCCAAAAACAAAGTTCAAGAGTGACAGAATATTGTTTCTGTGAATAAAATTGGTTGTATATTGACTTTGTTATTGCATATGGAAGCTCATTTTAAGCTAATAAGTTTTTAACTGTGATAGAAAAGTTCCTTCAGCTTTTCCCAGTCACATAAATTCACTGGGAATGCTCAGAAGAAAAGTACCTACCAAAAAAAATGCTTCCAGAGTTCATCAGGTTTTTTCAAATGTTCCTCAAGTCTCTTTTATATCACTTGTGAATTGTATACGCATGATTTCAGTGAGGTGAAAAAGAGAACGCAGGGGACAAGTTATTAAACTAAACTGAAGGATTTCCTGAAGTTATCTCTGCATAAATTATGGGCTAAAGCATCAGTGTCCTTAGGTACCTTTTGTTCCACAGTTAACTTTCTGATGATAGTTGTTTTCTGTCTCCCTCAATAGGTATCCTCAGCTCGAGGTATCAATGCTTATGGAAATACCTCAGTGGTGCAGATAGGTAATGTTTCAGGCTATATTGATACACCAGACCCACCAACGATTATCAGCTATTTGCCTGGGCTTCTGTACAAATTTAGCTGTAGCTATCCACTGGAGTACTTGGTTAACAATACCCAGCTTGCTTCGTAAGTGTGCTTTTCATTTCTGTGTGTTTCATTTCCATGTTTATGTAATCCCTTATGTATGCATACACACCTGAATACATGCATGCCATAGCAGTATTGTCAATATAGCAATTTTTAGCTGTGCGAGAGTAAAGGGAATGGAAAAAGCACTGAAAGAAGACGTGGTGCACAGGAAAAGGAAATTCTGTAGCATCATTGTATGAGATAGCATAGTTTATGGAGAGAGCCTTAGATAATGTAAAACTTCCTGTAAAATTCAGATGGTAGCAGCAAGAAAATGGAAATTCTTCCAATAGTTTGTAAGCATGTGCATATAGAATGCAAGAGAAATATATTTCAGTGAGTAAACCAAACCTTGTACATCATCAGAAGTGGGTTCCATTTTGTCACTTTGCTTCTCTGATAATTATTTTTCTGATTCATGTTTTCAACAGTAATCCATTACTTTCTGCATAAAGTTCTGTCAGTATTTCCACTATAAATTCCTATTTATGAAGTTTATAACCCAACTGCATAAATTAATTCCTTGTGACATGACTGGAGTTATTTTAATGATAAAAACCACTGAAGTATGTAAACACAAAAATAAAATACCTTCATGATGGTTTTTGGTTTCTGGTCCTGTTGTAGGTCATCAGCTGCTATTTCTGTAAGAGAGAACAATGGTACATTTATCAGCACCTTGAATTTGTTGCTTTACAATGTGAGTATAAAACACAGTAGTATGACCTGGACTAAATCCATCTCGGCACTATGTGGGTGCAAACTGGATTCGCAGAGCAAAGTGTAGACTCCACTTCATTATTTGCTGTTCTCTTCCCAGTCCTTCCGTGAAGAACCAGGCCTTTCATCTGGGCGTCTTTCATCTCTGACTTCTCTTGCCCTTTTTGTTTGCATGTACCTGTTGTGTATTTATATGCTGGTCTTTGAGGACACACAGAGTCTTTTCTTCCTATATTCATACGGTTCCTCAATTTACAGCTCTGGCTTTCAGGTTGTAGTGCCATGTGAATGATCACTTGTACTACTACTAATAATCATACTCCAGAGTGCATACTTTGCATTTATTGAGTATATGTGTGTGTGTATGTATATGTGTATGTATATGTGTATAGGTACATTGTATGAATACTGAGAGAATTCTGTAGAATTCTGTAAAAATATTCTAGGCCTGTTCCCTTAGCAATAAACTGTAGCACTTTTGCTGTGGTATTTTTATGTTCTGGCCTCATCAGAGTGTTTTGATTATCTGTAATTGTAGTGAAGGATCTGGGATTTGTTCCAACTCTATAGACCACTGCACTTGTTGCCTCATTGTGTGGACTTTCAAGATTTTAAGGGTTAATTTTAACAGCTTTACACATCTTCCATATGTTTTACATAATTTAACCTAAATATGCATTATTGTATAAGCTTTTACTATGTAAATGTGGATGGTGACAGTAAAATGTGAAAAATGCACAGACCTCTACTTAACAACATTAATCCCTGAAATGATATTTTCGTGTTGATTAAAATTTTTATTCATACATTTTAAATACCTGATTTAAATATAAATTTTTCAATCTATCAAACAACATTTTTGTAAATTATGAATCAGATTTTTTTGCACTATTATTCATGCCATCATGACGCTGAGTTATAAGTCATGCAACTGATTTAAAAGTCAATGCTTTACGCTTTGAACATGATGAGGTATAAATATTGTAACAGGACATTTTCCAAAGGCATGCTTGAAAAAAATCATGTTTGCTTGACAGAACAGATTTCCAAATAACAACTTATAATCTTAATTTTAACAGATTATACTTTTCTCATTTTTCAATAAAGCTGTGACCAAAAAGATGAGACAGAGTGAGGATAGCCAAAGTCCTCAGTCAGGACAAAGATTGACCCACCATGTGTTTGCTGCCTTTCAGGGCCCAGTTCTGCACACAGTCAGGTATAAATGCTATTGATTCTTGTCCTGAGCACATTTTTTTTCTCAAACACCACATGCCAAACTGAGCTTTCGTCCTCCCTACCCCAGTGAGTTTGTAAGTCATCCATGAACAGAGGTGTCTTATCCTTCTGATTTCAGTCGTATTACTCTAGTGAGTAGCACTAGTATGAGTAGTATGAGTACAGCTAAGGCTGGCAGATGGAAGTGATGGATGTGCTTTTCTGGTTCACGTCCTTGGGCTGGGTGTATACACAGCTAGCTTGTGCATTGCCTGCAGTCTGGCAGGTTGTGAGTGCCTCTTGGGACACCCATGGTCTTGTGAGCTCTGATACTGTGGGCTCACTTCATACCTGTTAGAGAGTCCTGGTTTTTGGGAGGGACCCTGAGGTTCCTGTCCACCCTTGGTATTGGTGAGTGGTTGTGTACAGATGTGGCTCTTGTCTGTGAGCAGCCATACTTTGAAAATTCGTCTGTAATGTTATTTCCTAACATCGACACTTCATCTTCTCAGCTCCCTTCCATCTTCCCTCACAAGGTGATGTTTACATTTACTTTGTGGTAGTAGCATGTTAATGTTAGGAAAGACAAGAGGAGCCATTATGATAGACTCAGAGTTCGGTAGCAAAATGTTTAATGGGCTTTCACCGAGCCTAAGTGGTTATGTGCTTTTAGGCCTTTCTGTAAGTGACTGTCTAAGCCAATAAAAACTGCCTTTTAAGGAAAAAACTATGGAATGTAACAGTGAGAGACTTGCTGTAGACTCCTTAATTGGTTTGCAAAATGTGACAGAGCTAAGCATTAGAGAAATATATAGTGAATTTTAAAGAAGGCGAACTTATCTGATATCACTTGAACGGATCTTCAAGGATTTGCTTTGTGTGTATTGCAGAGCTGGTCTGTGTGTGCATGTATATCTTCCAAGGCCTCTAATGCTGCCTGTGAATATTGGGCATGCTGTGAATTTGGACATTGTTTCCTCTGAAAAATACTTGATCTATGTGCTTAATCCTTCTTGTTGCTGTCAGCTGCTGCTCTTGGTTTTGCCTGCCACGTTGAATCTGGTCAAAATTCTGTTTAACAAAGTTTTTCATCTGTATTGAGTGTTTTGACCTTTTGCAAGAGGTTTCAACGTGCTAAGTCCCTGTGCTTTCTGGATTAGCAACCAATGTGACATAGGTGACATTACCAGAAAGTGCATTTTGATATGCTGAATTAATGTCTGTCACTCAGATCTGCTTCATGGCATTGTTGCTAAAGTGACATTAATGGTTCAGCCTTTGAACAAGAAATCAGAAAAAACAGCTATGTCTATGTAGTAGTATGTGGGGATTTCTCAACTTTTATGTTATATGTAGCTTTCTTGATATAGCATTTTTGAAATACTAGAATTCAAAGGACAATGTTTGTTACTTTGAACCTTCAAAAAGCCAACTTCCATAGAAGCTACATTTTGGATAACAGACTCTATCTGTTCTTCCAGACTACAGTTTAAGATATATAAAACCTGGTGGTATTGCTATCTCCACTAAATCAAATAACCTGTCCTGGTTCTGGCTGGGACAGAGTCAACTTTATTCATAGTAGTTAGTAAGAGGCTGTGTTTTGGATTTGTGCTGAGAAGGAGGCTGATAACATACCAATGTTTATAGTTGCTGCCAGGACAGTCAAGGACTTTCCGGCATCTCTGCTATGCCAGTGCCTGCAGGTGCAGGTGAAGCTGGGTGGGAGCACAGTCCAGATTACTAGCCTAGAATTCGACCTTAGGTTTAGGATTGAGACCCAAATAGAACAATGATATATTCCGTATCATGCACGTCATGCCCAGTGTGTTATGAGGGGCTGTCTGGAAAAGCTCTTTGTGGCTCACTCTCTCTCTGACAGTTTGTTCTCATGCTCTCTCTCTGTCAGCTTTCTTGATCTCAGACTGTTGGGCTTTTCTCTCTTCTGGGATTGAGGTTTCGGGACTCTCTCTGCTCTGGGATAATTCACTGGGAATGGGCTGAGCCTTGGTCATTGGGTGGTGAGCAATTGCACTGTGTATCATTCATTTGTATATTTGTATATATTACTATTATTATTATTTTCAATTTTTTTGTAATTTAAAGTTGTTCTTATCTCAACCGATATTAGAAAAAATTTCTTCACTGGAAGAGTGATCAGGCATTGGAACAGGCTGCCCAGGGGAGTGGGGGGGTGACCATCCCAAAGGTGGAGTCACCATCCCTGGAGGTGTTCAAGAAACGTGTAGATGTTGTGCTTCGGGACATGGTTTAGTGAGTTAGGTGGTGTGGGTTGACAGTTGGACTTGATGATCCTTAAGGTCCTTTCAAGCCTTAATGACTCTATGATGAGTCTCTTCCCTTTACCCCTTTAAGTCTCTCCTCTATGCCTGGGAGAGGGAAGGATGAGTGAGCAGATGTGTGGTGTGGGCTGCTGTGTGGGTCAAATCACAACATAACCTGAACAATCTTTCCTGGAAAAGGGTGCATGTGACAACTCAGTTAATCTGCTCCTTTAGAAAACTAGAGTAGCTTCTATATTTGCTTGTAGGTGCTGGGAGATGTACTGGGGTGTCAAGGAATTATACCTTTTCTTTAATCACAGATCCAACCACTTCCTAAAATTATAGATTCCCCAAAGTACTTAGGATAAGGCTAGTCAAGTGTTGTTGGTCTTTACAGACAAACTTGTAGGCAAATTCTCTTGCACCGATTTTTTTCTTTTTCTCTTACAGAGGACAGAGTAAATGACTCTCCTATGTAGAAAGGTCACAAAAATTAGATAGGAATTTAGTCTGCAGATGCAGATGAGTTGTTACAGTGGGATTTCTGGTACACTGAGTCAATGTTTGTTTTTCAGGATTCAACCTACAGCCAGCAGCTCCTTATTCCAAGCACAGGTTTACCTTTGAAAACCAAAATATATGCAGCTGTAAGAGCAACCAACCTTGATGGCAGGTACCATAAAGGATGTTATTTCTTGTCTTGCTTGCTATTTAGTTCTTGGTGTTGCAATTTTTTCCGATCTAGAAGCAGCTGTCTTTCGTTATAACCTTTTGTATGTTAAAATAATGGTTGGTGTTTGATAATCATTGCCCTTGCTGGAGGGTATCAGGTCCTTGCTGGTGAATGTATATCTTGCTGCTGTCCTCATTATGAAAGTTTTCCTGAATTATACTTTAAATCCTGTATTGCCATTATTTAAGAAAGGGCTTCTGTAAGATTAAGTGACAAACTTCTGGGCTTTTAAAAGTGGTATGGTTTTGATTTCTAGTTCTGTGTGGCCATGACGTCTGAGAAGAAGGTATACAACATGTGTGTTGGTATGCTGTTGTACTTGCATGAAACCAAATGATTTGTTTTATGCAGTACTGCTAGTGTGGTGTGCTGTTTAGTTTTCTAAGTCGTGGGAGGGAACAGGCAATATATTGGGACTGCAGAATGACTTGTACATGACCTGCTAAATATGGTAGCTCAGCTTCAGTTGTAACAGCCTGCGTTATCAGTTTGTACACTTGCCTGTGCTGTCTTTTAATCTTGTCTCACTCACTCTCCACCCCTACTCGTACATTACCAGTTCCTCTCATCTATCACTTTGCTCCTTGTGCAGGTGGAATGTTTTGATGGACTACTGTTACACCACGCCATCTGGTAATCCTAGCGATGATCTTCGATACGATCTTTTTTTTAGGTAGGTCCTGTGCAAACCCAGTGTTTTGTGAGTCTTCCTTTTAAAAAATACTTATAAATCTCTCCAATAGTGGTGTTCTAAACTGCCTGGTAAGTTTAAGCAATATTAGCAGGGAGGACCGAGGACTAGGCTTATAGATAATGTGTCAGAATTTATCTTGTTTGTGAACATAAACATAGAAGCAAGTGCAAAGTCGTAAAAATTGTGAAGGTAGAGAAGCAAATATCTAGAATGGGTTTACTAGAGATACCATAAACACCCAAACTGAATGGCTAAACTGGCCTTTGTTTTACCAAAGGTACCCTTGTGGTGAATGACAGCGATATAAAACATCATAGGCTTCAGTTCAGGAAAGCAGTTAAGCAAATAATTAAAGATAAATAGATGTTTCTGCTGTTACTCCCAGTAATAACATTTACTTGAAATGAAACTTTGAAAAACATCTTGGCAGTATCTCAGATTAAATTTTATCAGTGACAGTTGCTGGAGAGATACTGTCTTCATTTGGAGTTACCTGTCTATACCAGTTAGCATACTTGACTACTTTTTGCTTCAGGCTTCAAGTTTCTTTGGGCACTGGAATTAAATGATACCTTGGTTATATCTGTGATGTTACAAATAAAAACATAATGTTTTTGTATGAATGCGTTTCAGCACAGGACTGTGCATCCTAACAGGCAGACTGTGGCTGCCTGTGTTGGACATTAGAGCACTGTGTTCTTTTCTAAGGAGCTAAAGCACTGAACTTGCTGGTTAAGTTATCTTTTTCTCAGCTAAGAGCTTCAAAATACTAATCATACAGCTGCTTATCCTAGTTTTAATCTTCTCTACAAAAAATAGCTGTGACAAGGACCCGCAGACAACTATAATTGAAAATGGCAAGAGCCAAATGGGCCGGTTTTCCTTTGAGGTGTTTCGCTTTGTGAAGCACAAGAACCAGAAGATGTCTACAGTCTTCCTTCACTGTGTGACAAAGTTGTGCAGAGCAGATGACTGTCCCTTTCTTGTGCCAGTAAGTTTCAATAGATGGAAGTTACTGTTAATTACCTGCATACAAAATAGACACACTGGAGTTATTCTGCATCCAAATGCTGAGGAAGTTTGGATGGCACAGAATAAGGGTGACTTGTAGAGTCTGAAGTAAGAATGTTTTGTGTGTCTGAAGGAATGTAAAACAACTGATGAAGAACAGGACAATGAATACTGTCAACTGGAGATGGAATAATACTAGACCTGCAAAACACAGGTTATTGAACACATGAGAAATTACCTCTTTGCCTATTGGTCCTTGATTCGTTTTTAAAAGTTACAACTCAGCTTCAGAGCTGATATTCTTAGGATAGCATCTAAGAAACAAGGTATCCACAATCACAGTTGATGAAGATAAATATTTTAGAAGAGAAATTACAGAAAACTTAAAGCTATAGTAAGTGCAGCTATACTGACAAGGAAAATTTGAAAGAGTTTCTGATAGTGGAAAAAAACCCAACCTACTACATTCCCTATATTTTATTACCACCACCCTTATAATTTGGAAAGTGCTATTATGAAGTTCATTAAGTTATGTCAATTAAAAAATTGTTTCATTTTAGGACCATCAGAAACAAATAATTTTGGAAATGGAAACATGTAAGCATATAAACATAGGATATTCTGTGTTGATGTCTTCAGAATACAGTATCAATTCCTTTCCATTTATGATTTTAAAATTCTGTTCGTTCAGTATAATTCTGATGTTTTGTATGTTAGTTTATACTTTTATGTTGCACTTCTAAAAATTCATTGTTTCTATTAAGGATTTATGTTCTGAGGTTTTCGAAGTTCTTTCACAAAAAGTTGAAATTAAAGAAATGATCTTGGTTGAAGCATAGTTGAGTACCCAAGATTAAGGTAGATGATAAGTTAGAGATGTTAAAGGTGAATTCTAGGTGACAGAGTGCTGGGGATTGTTTTAGTGTCAGTCATTGCTATTTAGAACTCCATGGAAAATGTTTGAACTTGAACTTGAGAAGCTTGCTAGAATAGGGATTGTAGCATGTCCTCTATCCCTAGTCAAGCAAACACATTTGTTGGAGAAAACTGTCTGTAAACAAAGCTTTGGGAAATTAACTACTGAAAATTTAATATACTATAAGATGGATCTTGTACACAACAACAATGTAGCTCTGTAAACAAAGTGAGGCAAAATACAACAGGAAGACAGGCATTTATAAGATACACTTCTAGGGAATATTGCAGCTGTTTTTATTGCAAAGTAATATAATGCATACTAAGAAATAAAATCAAAGTTGTAGTATTGCTTATAAAAGAGTTTACATTGAAGCAGGAAGCACAGAAGGGCAATAATTCCATTGTCTGAAACTGTGATTGTTTTGATTAACCGCTCAGATTTGCAGTAACAGAGAAAGAAGAGATGCTGGTGGGAGGACAACTTGGAGCCCTCAGAGCACCTCTGGCAATGCTGTTATCTCTGCTGGCCCCATCATTACAAGGAGTGGTATGAATGAGCAAACTTTTTCTATGGACTGCTGGAATTTCAGAAACCTGGTGAAATGTTTTGCAGTTTAGTATAAATTTGCAGTGACTTAGAGAAAGGGTGGATTCTCCATAAGTTTACTGGGTATTTTTCCCCTACTGTAGGAGTCTTTGGTAGAAATTTTGAGATAATACTTCTGTTCATAGAATCATGGAATATTTTGGGTTGGAAGGGACCTTAGAGATCATCTAGTTCCAACCTCCCTGCCATGGGCAGGGACACCTTCCACTAGACCAGGTTGCTCAAAGCCTCATCCAGCCTGGCCTTGAACATCTCCAGGGAAGGGGCAGCTTCACTGGGCAACCTGTTCCAGTGTCTCACCTCCCTCATACTAAAAAATTTCTTCCTTGTATCTAGCCTAAATTTGCCCTCTTCCAATTTAAATCCATTACCCCTCATCCTGACACTGTTTGCCCTTGTAAAAAGTCCCTCGCCATCTCTCTTGTAGCCCCCTTCAGGTACTGGAAGGCTGCTATTATTTCTTCTTGGATCCTTCTCTTCTCCAGGCTGAACAACCCCAACTCTCTCAGCCTGTCCTCATATGGAGGTGTTCCATCCCTCTGATCATCTTCATGGCCCTCCTCTGGTCCTGCTCCAACAGCTCGATGTTGCATTGGGGGCCCCAGAGGTGAACACAGTACTCCAGGTGGGGTCTTATGAGAGCAGAGAAGAGGGGCAGAATCACCTCCCTTGACCTGCTGGCCACGCTTCTCTTGATGCAGCCCAGGACACCGTTGGCCTCCGTGGGCCTTCGGGGCTGCGAGCAGACACTGCTGGCTCATGTTCAGTTTTTCATCTATTGACACCCCCAAATCTTTCCTCTTAGGGCTGCTCTCAAGCCATTCTCTGACCAGCCTGTATTTGTGCTTGGGATTGCCTTGACCCATGTGCAGGACCTTGCACTTGGCCTTGTTAAATTTCATGAGGTTTGCATGGGCCCACCTCTCAAGCCTGTCAAGGTCCCTCTGGATGGCATCCCTTCCCTCCAGCGTGTCCACCACACCACGCAGCTTGGTGTCATCGGCAAACTTGCTGAGGGTGCACTCAATCCTACTGTCCATGTCACTGACAAAGATGTTAAATAACACCAGTCCCAGTACTGACCCCTGAGGAATGCTACTCGTCACCAGTCTCCATTCGGACATTGAGCCGTTGACCGCAACTCTGTGAGTTTGGCTCTCACATGCTTCCTCCCTACCCCAGTAAATCACCATGGGATACTGCTATGCATATAAGGTCATTATAAAAGCCCACACACAGTGGGTTGATTTCTTTTTTTGTCAGATTTCACTGAAGATAATGGAATTTAAGGTACTGTGTTCAGTGTTGCAATTTAATTTGGACAGCTAATGAATATTCACTGTCACTTTCTATTCACCATTTCTTACAGCTTCACCTGTGGGGTTTTATCTAAGTATTGCATAAAGCTAATACATGCTATGCTTAGCCTTCAGCTATAAAAAAGAAATAGAGCAAACATGCTGTAAATTCTAATCAGAGTGGGCCAAAATCTATGCTTTTAAATTCAAGGTAGAATGCCATTATTTCAGTTTTTATTGCCAAATAAAATTTGGCATTTTTTTTTTAAATAAAAAAGCAGCTCTAAATGCAACCTGCAGTCTCTGAAAAGAATTTTTGACTGCTATTTGCAAAATAACAAAAATAAAATACTTGAAAAATGTTTAAGAAATTCAGTTTACAGGTATTTATAAGTAGTTGCAGTTAAGCAACCGATTTCAGCAGTCTTAGATTTAGGAAGCTGAGAACAGGACTGAACCTGTCTAGAAAAAATAATTCAAACACTTGAGAATAAATCTTTATGTACAAAGTGGTTGTGCCCACATATACGGAGAGAACAACTGGCTCTCCAGAATCAGGAACCATCTAGCGAGAGACCATTTTCAGGACAAATACTCTCTGTTACAAGTAACATTTCTGCAATGAAAATGAGTAGCTTTCTTCTGCATTATGCATGGTCCCAATTGAGTTGCTGCTATCTGATTGGTTAAAAAAAGTGGAAAGAACTAACTTTGAAGCTACATGTGTGAGTACTTATGGGAAATGAATGACAGATTTACTCAGACAAACGTGAATGATAGAGGCATTCTACCTTAGGCAGCAAATAGAAAAGGGACAAAGCTTGTTATGTGAGCAACCCCTATTAGGTAATATAGTTCATGATTCAAATGTTGTGAATGCTATTTTCACAATTAAAAAAAACACAAAACCTCATCAATTACCTTTAAATACTGCATAACATCAAGCAAACAAAGGTCTGTCCACAGGTGTTTAATGACCCCAAAGAAAGGATAAACTATTTTATAATTTCTTGTTAACTGTTGAGTTTTTTTTTTTAATGAAAACATGAATAGGGCTAGAAATGGAAAATAATATTTTTTTAGGTGTTTTCTACTTAAGATATGTGGCTAAATCTTTTTAGATTAGACATATTTTTGTGTGTCCATAGTATGTTTTTGGAACATCCAACTCCTGACAGAAGGATGGTTTGACGGGAAGTACTCTGAAAAAAAAATGGGATTCAGTTCTGAACTCTGCCATGAATTTCCGGAGTGATATTGGGCAAGTCACTTAGTCTGACTCACACTTTAATTTTCCTTCTGAAGCAGAAAGAAGGAATCAGTATTTCTTCCCACTGTCCCTTCCCATTGTGAAAATAAGTGCATTAAAAATGTGAGGTTCTTGAATACTGTAGTCAAGGAAAGAAAAGGGGGAAGGTCATGAGAGAACTTGAACTGAACTATCTGGTTTTGGATGAGGAGTGCTGGGGTGCAGTGCTGGCTTAGTCTGGTGCGATGCTGCATGGAGGTGCTTCTACTGTTTTCAAGGCCAACTCTGGTCCAGCTTTAGTACAGATACATTTGTACAGAGCCCATCCCACCTCCTGCACTTGACTCACCACAGTACGTACCCCAGAATTAGGTCTGCAGTTGCATAGATGTGCAGCCCCTCACTTGTCACATTTAGGGACAGGTTGCACCTGTCCCGGGGCTGTTACTGTGCACATCGGTGTCTGCAGAGGCACCTTGAGTTAGCCAGGTCTTCCCTTTAGTCTAGCCACCAGTTGTTCTGGTAACAGAGCTATTTATGCAGTTACCTTGACAGGAACTGAATAACGTAACTGCAAGTGAGTAATGGTCCTTCTCCTGTGTATTTCTGAACTCTTATTTCTAACATTTTGTTCTTTTCAGAGAAACTTTATTCTTGTTTGTTAATCTAAAATAAGTCATTACAGGAGACACACAGAAGAAAATGTTTTAGTCTCTGTGTATAGAAACAAAGCAGGTACCTACTTGTGAAGGTGAAACTGTGTGGCTTTTGATGGATGTCTCACTTAAACTTAGAAGACAGCTGCTCAAAGCAAATTTATATGTGAGCTGTGCTTACAAGTTGCACAAAAAAAGCAAAACCAGTGACAAGAAATGTAGTTCTGAGATGGACAGTGGTAAGTAAGTAAAAACTGAAGACAAAATACAAATATTTCTCTGAGTATAATGCCAGTGTGTAACCATTAAATGAAAAGTGAGCACGCGGAAAGGGTATTTTTGTAATAATTTATGGTCAGTGATGTGTTTTTCCTTGAAAAACTCAGGTTAATTTTTTTTCCTATACAGATCTTCTTGTAATATGATTACCAGTGAAGGGACTTGCATATAATACTGTGCTTATGGTCACATTTTTTGAGGGACAGAATAGAACTGGACACATTTTTAATTAAGAGGTTCCTGCATTAAGATGTTGTTTGTTGTTGAGGTGTGTTTGCCACAGAATACTAAGTAACTTCATACTGGTGTGCTCGTATTAAAAATGAAGCTATGTCACGTCACTGATGTTGTTGTCCTTGTTCTACCAGAGATGTTAAAAGCTAGTAGTCAATGTTGCAAGTATAGCTGATGTGCTTTGAAAATAAAGCTAGGGATATTAGCTTTTGGGTTGCAAGGAGGGAAGGAGGTAGGCAGAGGTATTTGTGAAATATAATGCATCTCTGTTTTGTTTTATGCAGATGAAACACCAACCAACAATTCACAGCTTGGTAAGTTAATCAGAATTCCAAGAAACATAAAAGGGAGTTTGGGTGAAACAGAACTAAGGAAATGAACCATTTTGATTGAGCTCTATGCACTGAGCTGGAATGTTGTTTTGTTTTTTTTTTTTCTTTTTGGATTGTTGTTGTCATTTAAATAAGACAATACTGACATGCTATAAAGAAAGAAATTGGTGAATCTGGAATGCTGTTTAATTTGTGTACCCAGCCCCACCAACATAGCAACTTCTAATTCCTGTGATGGAATTGGAATTAAAATCTGCTGCTATGACATATGAGGGTTAGGGAACATTGCAGCTAACAGATGAAAAATCAGACTTAAGCAGTAAAGTCTGCTCATGCCATGCAGGAGTAGAACAGCAAAGTGGTTATTATGGTGCAGTCCAGCTCAGTTCACAGCTCAAAGTCAGAAGAGCTCTGCTTCGGCTCCTGTTCTGGCATTTAATCAGACAAAGAGCCTATGGAGAAGCTGGGACAGAACATGTGGTCTTCTAGGGCAATGAAGGAAATGGGCTGCAGGGGAGGTCAGGTTTTGGGGTGCTTCTACTTTGGGCTCTTGGAGGACTTGTTTCAGCCCATCTGTTACTGTTCTCTACTGGTAACAAGGAGTAGCTGATAACTTAGAAAGGATGGTCAAGATAAGCAGAGGGTCTGTCAGGCCATTTCACCTCTTGCTTGTTCATAATGGGACTGAGTGGCACAAGCAACCTACCCTGTCCTCTGAACTCTAATACTATTTGTTCCCTTTTTTTCTTAACTTAGACCACATAAAAGCAGCTACCTTTCTTTCCTGGCACGGAAACAAAGTTCTCCCTGTAATGAATTACTCCCTGGTATCTTCCTACCCATGGGTATCTTTAACATAATAATAAAAAGCAAATTCTCCTTTTGCTGCACACAGCTTGCTGTGTTAATCGCTGCTACCTTTCCTTCCCATCCAACAAAAGCAGCAGCCCTCTCTTTCCATCCCAGCGCAAGAGCCTTTCCTGTGCTTGTTGCTGTCCCAGTGGGGAGTGTAGAGGTGCATATGTGCATAGGGTGTTGTAATGGAAAGGCAGACCTGTTTGGTACTGTTGAGAGATTGTAAGCAAATCTTACCTGTGCATTTTTGTTCTCCTTGCAGCTCATCCAAACGGACCTCCTTTCCAGCTGAACTCAGTTACCAGCGCACTGATTTCAGGCATTGTCATCCTAGGAATTACAAGCATTTTCTTTTTTGTGTGTTCCCTAGCTCTTCTGCGCAGAAAGTGGCCCAACAGTTCAGTCTTGAGTGGCATCCGAAACCCAGTTTTCAACTGAAAGTGATTATTCACTTGCACTTTTTCTTTGGAGTTGCCTTTCTTGTCCATGAAATAGGGTTCCATTAAAAAATAATATTAAGGCAACACTCCAGCTGTTTCCAGCTTCTATTCCAGCTATTCTATGTTTGTAGATTTGCTAGATGTTGTTGTTTAGCTAAGCACCATTGATACTGGTAACAATCCTAGAAAATTATGAGAATCTCAGTTGTGTTTGTGATCAGACTGTATGACATTATGCCCATGGGTGTGCTAACAATATAGCTTATGTCTCCAGCTTCCCAGTAAGGTCTCAAAGCTGAAGATGCTGACGGTGTGAACCTTTACAAGTATGCTGTTCTTATACAAAACCTGACACATTCAGAAACATTCATAAGTTCATAAACACCTACTAAGATAAAGATAATTTCTATTTTGTCACAGTGTTTTTCACAAATTTGAAAAAACAATTGTGTCTCAGGAGGAACTTGTTTTCATCTATCTTTGCTAAAAATCACCCTAGAAAGACTTAGAATAAGTGACTTTTGCTTGTTATTATTTTGGAAATGTTTTCTTAGATATATCTTCCATTGAATTGTGGTGATATCATGTGAAGGACATAATTTGGCTGGGTATCGTTCAATCAGTAGTTTAGGGCAAACTGTAGTTGGTCCCAGGGAACAATGCTGCAGTCCTTGAGGTGGAAAAAACTTTTTCTGGCACAATCATTGAGTAAGAATCAGTGAGAGCTTTAAATCTAATGTTCATCAGAAAGTTAATTCTGCACAGAATTGTCACATCTGCAGCCTTCAGTCAAATTCTAACCCTAGGAACTGCTCCCAGGGGAAAAGGATTCCTTTCCCTCTGACACCTTGAACAGGCAAGCTAATATGAACAAGTAATGCCCAAACTTTCCTCATACAAAATTATTTTTGGGGCACTATTTGGCAGCTGAGTAAAACTCTCGTTAATATCATAATTTGTAAGGACCAGTTTTGCCCCGTGAGTTTTGCAGTTCTCGGATAAGGCTTTCCTTTCTACAGGAAGAGTTATTTCTTTAGCAGATTTTCTGGATGGATTAGACTTCTTCACTGCATGGGTCAAGGGAGGAGGGCAACTAGAAGGATAATACTGTACTGTTGACTCTAGTTAATTTGATAAACATCAGACTTCATCTGAACTGTGAGTGACCAGGTGCCCTCCAAAAGGAGCACAGGGCAGTGGCATAGCTGTGTGTAGAATAGGCAAAAATGCTGGTACTAGAGAGGCCGCCGTAGATATTCACATACATTAAGCTAGACTGGATAGACAGTTGGGATTTTGGTCACACATACAGCAGTTAAATTTCATTTTTCATGTACTGTATATAATGGCCTAGAAACACCTCATTGATATTTATCATCATCCTGTGTTCATGTCTGTGTTTTCGTTGATGTGACACAACTGGCTAATCAGGGCGTTTTGGCTCTCAAGACTAAAGACAAATACAGACTTGTTCTCAGTTTTCTCTGATCCTGCAAATGCTGTATAAAGGCCTGTTGTTCGCAAAGTCCACTGTCCTGTAGTGTGGTATCCCTAACAACCGATACTGTGCCTGTTTTCCTCCGGTCTTAATACCTCAGAAACATTTTTGCACTTCAGGACCTAGGTCTGGTGACATGTAAAACATGATTGTTTAATAAAATTATTTGAAACATTTCAGAATGGATAGTTTGTCTGCTTTCCTCTCCCGGTCAAATTGTTACAGTTTTGTACATGCTTTCAGTGACCTCATTCCACAAAAATGAAAATTGGATGTGTTTTGTCAGTTTGGTAAAAGCTTTCAATATATAGGATAAAATAATATAAGTATAGCTTTACTAGCTTTCAAAGGAGGGCAATAAATTCTGGAGATTTCTATCTCAGTCTGGGGATAAATAGATTCAGATAATCTATTTTAATTTACTCATAAAGACAACCACAGAAATCCCATTAATGTAATTACTACTTCATAACCAGCAGCTTTAGCTGAAAGTTTCCAGTGATGGAGATAGCCATTACCGTCCTTAGTAAGTTGTTCCAGCAGTTAATTGCTGTCTTTAGTCCTTTTTAAAGACTGTAATGTGAATGTGCCCAGCTTAATTTGTCAGCCATTAGAAACTGTTGTGGCTTTGTCTGCTAGACTGAGAGGGACCCTTCTTCTGACAGAAATCTCACATAATTTGGTTAAGAATAAAAAAAAAAAAGGTGAATGGTGTTTGGGAAAAAAAAAAAGAATCAAAAGCTGCTAATAAAATATACTTGTCCTATTTCAATTTCTCTGTGTTTCTGGAAAGACAGCTGCTTTTTTATATAAAGAAAAGTAATTTACAGTAATTAAAAAGACTTCTTGACCAAATTTTTTTGGGGCTTGGTAGCCTATTACAAAAATGGAGTTGCTACCAATAATGTAATAAACAAAATGCTTTTCTTATGTTAGTTAAAATTTCTGGAATGGTTTGTTTTTGTGAAGAACCAGATAAAATGATGTTCTTTGTGTAACTTTTGCTCATGTGAAAATTATTAGGTGCCAAACGGCGATCCCAAAGCAGTTAAGTCAGTGAACAGAGTTCCCAGAGTCATCTGTGGGAGTCATTACTGTGCTTGCTATGGATTGAATGTATTTGTCTCCATCATTCATTAAATGAGATAAATACCTGATCCTACTTGGTAAAGCAACATGGAGAGTCACAGGCGAAAAATGGTGTCTAAGAACAGGCTTATTCATTTGTAGATCTGACATGGAAATGCTTTATGAATGGTTTTTAGGGGAAGTGAAAACTTGAGCCAAGTTGCTGCCCAAATATTTCTAGAAGGGAGAGTACTGACTGTATTTGTGAAAACATCCCTATCCCGTTTTGTCTGAAAGCGGTAAAGTATTTAGGAACACATGGAGGCCATAACTTGTGACCTCACAAGTTTCAAGGTGGAAGTTGGGTGAATGTGCGTGAAGGTTACACCCTACTTTTTGAAGGGCAGGATGTTAGATGAGAGGGAAGGGGGAATGAATTGAAAACATAAATTACATACAGTGGGCAGGGACTTGTGACACTCAAGATAGCAAGCTCTAAACAGAGCAGTGAATTAAGAAGACACTTGTACTTTCGATGAAGCACCTCTGGCCAGATACATAATGGAGGTCTCAGGGGTGTTAAGTGAAACTGAATTACTAAAAGAATTGTGGCTCTGCTAATCACTTCTGTTAGGGTTGCCTGTTACAGGTGTTTAAATGCTCTTTTTGTGCCGAGGTCAGATTTCTGCAGATAACCACAGTGTACTGAACTGTTCTCAGGTCTGTGACCCAGACTGGGGGGCAAATAGGAAAGAAACAGACTTTAAGTTTAGGTCTAAATCCAGTAGAATTTAATAAATCTATAGGTAAAAACACTTCCTTGGTTCCTGTGTTTGGAAGAAATAAATGACATATCAAATTGGAGCTATGCACACCAGCACTTGGGATAAATTCATTTGAGAAACAGGCCTTGACAAGGGATCCTGGAAGTAAATCACATTTCCCGCTTCATTCGGCAGGCAGTATTTCTTACTCTTGATATCTCTTAGGCTCCACAAATGTGCCAGAAGAAGCAGCCTTGCCCTGTTAAGCTTCTCATCTCTTCATCTGGAGGAGACATAGAAAGGAATATCGCGATAAACTAGGAAATGTTCCAAGTGTGGCAAAATAGTCCTTCCTCAGGTTACTCACAGGTTTTAGTTCAGTGCCACTTGGACCTTTCCCATGCCTTTGAGGAAGAAAGAGATATGGAAGATGGATGTGGAAGAGGCAGCAGAGGGTAGCTCTGCACAGTCATCAGTGGCTAGAGTGGGTGTTCGATACACTGGCAGTTTCAGGATTGTATCATGGTTCTTTACCATAATGTCTCTTTTGAAAAGGTTTTATAACTTTTCTGTTATTCACTAGTTAACTCTTTCCTTGTCTTTATTATGTTTGTACAATTAGAAACCACATTCTTGAGATAGTGAAATTGAAATGTAAGGCAGAAAAGCTGTTCAAATGACTTATCTTGGTGAAGATGCTAAACTACTTACTGTTGGCAAACTGAGGAGGGTTGCTGGCCAGCCAGATCTCAAATATTGATATTACATTTATAACCTCTGCTTTTGGACTTCATGGTGTGTGTGAAAAGTATTTTGTGCTAAAGCAGGTTCCTCACCAGTCCTTGTAACCAAGAAATACTATTTAGCAGTACCTCAAATGTTTTGTAATTTCACTTGTAATCCTCTGCTAAAAGGGGAAATCTTCAGTGCTGTGGGCTGATAAGATGGTGGTTGTTACAGATACATGGTATCCTTGCCTGAGCAGGTCTCATGTTCTCTGTTTGCATCCTGAGCTGGCTCATGTTTAGACTCTAGGTCTCAGAGGTGCATTTATCAAACTTGCTTGTTTTGCATAAACGAAATAAAAAAGGCTTGCTTCAGCATGTGTTCAACCCCTTTCCTCTGACTGGAGGATGAGTTGGAAGAAGCCCTGTGTTCCTGCCAGTGGCACAGTAGATTTCCCATCAAGATGGAGAGGCTGAACGCTGTCTGTTACAGGTACTGTTAGAATGGGTGAGGCAGTGTCTGCTCTTGTGACTGTTTTCCCCTCAATGCTTTAATCCCTTGTCTCTTGATTCAAGCTGAGGTCTGCCTTTATTCAGTCAATTTTATTATTCTGAGGAGGTGGTAACATCTGCCTGCTCAGCAGCTGTTTTGAGGGACAAGCATAGTTTTAGTGGGTTTTTTTAAACTCTGTTAGAACACAATTTATTTATTTATTTATCTTTAACTTTTTTGAAATTTTTTTTCCCCTTATCAAGGGGACTTAGTGAACTGGACTGATCAGTGTGATAGCAGGTTACATCTGCCTGCTCAGCAGCAGTTTTGAGGGACAAGCATAGTTTTAGTGGGTTTTTTAAACTCTGTTAAAACACAGATTTATTTTTTTTATTTATTTTTTTCCCCTTATCAAGGGGACTTAGTGAACTGGATTGATCAGTGTGATCA